GGTTCGCCCGCTTTGATTACGGCCGACACAACAATCTCATTAGATATGGACAGTCATATCCGCCACAGTATTCACTGCCGAGTATTAAATTAAGGAAAATCTCGATCTTTTATTCAGTAAACGACGCGATCTCTGAATATAGAAACGTTCAGATGATTAAGAAATATCTGACAGGTATTGACAATCGGGTGGACATAAAAGGCATTTAAACTATGCAAATATATGTTTGCCGTGCATTTAGATTTGCATTATTCAATAGATTTTGCTAAATAGTTGTCGATTTTTGCATATATTTATAGCTTAACAGTTTAAACACTTTCTATATTTAACATGATTTAAATGTTTCAAATGAAAAGTGTTTTTATAACATGATTAGAGAGCATAAGTATTGCGATAACTACTGTATAATTCATACGTAATCTCTTTCTTATGTTTAGAAAGTTTTAACTTAATTTTATAAACATTTATATATTCTGTATATAATTATATTTAATAACTAATTAATTAATTTTGTGTTTCAGTACCTCTTTATAGTGAGAACTTAATTATGGACCGAAAATGGGGTCATTTTGACTATTTTAGTGCAAAAACGGTTGGCTTTCATATAAACTCAAAGATTATTGATTTGTTGCGCTCTTCTGAATAAGTGATGATATTTTTCGTAAATGTTTTGTGATTTTTGTTTCTATCCATCAGTTTTGTGAACATGTTTTGTGAATAATTTAATGACAATTAATGTACAAAAATAGCATTTTATATATTGTTGTATTAGTTTTATAACTATTTGTAAGAAAATTTTAAATATTTTTGAAATCAATTTAATTAATTTAGATTTTGTATTATAAAAGATAGATTTGGGTCAAAATGAGACCAAAAAATTTTCATATTTTACATTTTATTGTATAAAATAATATTTAAAATATACAGCATTTTAATCGACTAATTACTGTCAAACTTGTTTTTAAGACAAATAAATTTTATTATTTACTAAAAATAGTTTTATTTCCCAAAGAAAATGTTAATAACGTTAATGTTTTTGTCATAAAAAAAGTTTTGCCTAAAAGAGGCGTTAAACAAATTCTTGAGTTTTTAAGACAAATAAATTTTATTATTTACTAAAAATAGTTTTATTTCCCAAAGAAAAATGTTAATAACGTTAATGTTTTTGTCATAAAAAAAGTTTTGCCTAAAAGAGGCGTTAAACAAATTCTTGTAATAATTTAAAATATAATTTAAAAACTATCAATATATGACAAAATTACTCATATTTTCAATTAATAATGTATTTGTAATTTATATATCTATTTAGACATGATTTTAAATTTCAAATCCACTGTTTAATAATACAATTTGTTATTTAAATAGCGCTTTGTTTTCTGTAAATAATTAATTTTGTAATAATTTTGATAAACAAGTAATAAAAATCCAAATCCAAGCGATCGATAAGACAAGCGATTTATTTGAAACCAAACCGTTTGAACCTTTCGACAGATTTAAGTAAATTCAGTAATTAATTATTGATTTGCGGCGAAAAATGTTCACTCATTTATTACTTCGTTTATATTTATAAATAATCGTTAATTTTTAATACAAAAATAAGCCGTAAGTTAATTACGAGATTACCTGAAATACTCATCTCAGCTCTCGTTTCGATGACATCATCGCTATATTGCTCTTCACTGTAAGAGTCAGACCCAGAATCTGATCCAGAATCGGGTTCACTGCTCTCTTCTTCGTAATTATCTTCGGATTTAACATTACATGCATTACCAGAACATAATGGCCTCTCATTTACGGCAATAATAGGCGGCAAATCACCGGAACTCTCGAGAGAGTCCTGGTTTTGGCCACAATTAGGATCGGAATCATATTCTTTGCACTCCTTTGTTGTTGAGCTCGAGTTAGAGTCCGAATCGCTCCATGAATTGTCTTCTTCTCTCTTCAGTACCGAAAATACTAAAGAAGTTTCCAATAATTTCTTGTCTAAAAATTTTACTGCATTTTCGTTATTCTCGACAATAATTATTAATCGTTGACCAAAAATATTCATCGAAATACTCTTNATAAAAAGTATTGATAACTAAATTACGATATAAAATAGTGTCGATCAGTGTTTTAGTTCAAAGATTACTATGTCTTCAGATCAACACATTTAGCATCAAATGCATAGAAAGTGAAAACTCCTCTCATTTTAAAGATAGTCACAAAAAGGATATATAAAAGTGAAATACTTTGATATATTAGCCATAACTTCCTTTCAGATCAGAAAAATTATATATTTATTAAACATTTAACAATTTTTGATAAATTTTTGAATTTTATTTACAAAGAAATATTATATAAAATTCAAACATTAAGACTAAATACAAGTAATTTGAGTGAATTTAGTGTTACACACAAAAACTTAATCAAATGTTTGCATAAAAATTACATTTTATTTTCAGACAAAATAAATTTGTTGAATGAATTAACAGCAAAAAAATGTATGAATTGAGTATATATTTAGTTCATTATAAACATCCCTTCATTATATCCGATAAACGTTTCGTTCATAAAAATCAAACAAAAAAATCAAATCATTTTCAGAGATTCAGAAGAAGATGAGAAGAAGATAATGAATGGTGAGCTCAAGACACGGGACTTAATGGCACTCGAGTTTAGTGACTTGAGTGCTGTTGAGCCAAACCCTCTGCCATATAGTGGCCGAACACGTCTCCACTCTCTGCAAACAAAGACAGGCATTACAATCAGATATCATCACCAAAACAGATGCCAATTGTCGTACCCCTTGTCCAGTGAGCGGACATTCCTCGTCGGTCGGGACCGAGTGTTTCGTGCATTTGGTGTCTCCGACGGTGAATGTGATGAAGAGCTGTCTTCCGGACACCACTTGTTGTTTGGCGTCTTTGATGGCAATCAAGCGCTTGTTGTACACAGAATTGGATCCCTTGTTATACATCGTCACCGCCAGACCAGTCATCGACTTCACGTCATCGCTGTCCGCATCCATGTCTCGGAGGCCACCCGTCATCCGACCCCCAAACACACCAACCCATACACACCCACACAGTGTTAGCGCTATTAAACACAATCCTCTCATAATTAATGGCAAATTTAATAACTGTTTATTTAATTATAAACAGTTGTAAACAATTCATTGTTTAACACAAACGCACTGTTAGTCCAGTAGTGCTGACCCCCACTCACTGCCCCCTTCACAGCACCCATACATACACTCCCATAGCAACCAATGGGCGCTAACCATGAAATTTGTTTGATGAAGGTTATGGTGAGAAATGTCAAATCACTTGTAATTTAGTTAATTAAATAAATAAAATGATTATTATATTTAAAAATTATTTATATTTTGTTTTTAATCGTTTTGTTGTCAATTGAAATACTAATTATAATTTTATAGAAAGTTTATATAATTATAAACAAACAAAAAATAGTACACGTATTACAGTATAACTTAAATAATGTCTTTTAAATGTAGCATTCATTATATATTTAAAACAATTACAAAATACAAAAAAATATTAATTAATAATAAACTTTTTTCGGTCTTAAAGAGAAAATATTTCAATGAAAGTAACAAATGTTTTATCCGTAAAACTATTCACATGTTATGAATCGCATGAAAACATTGTTATTGAGAGATATATAGACTGAGAGATAGAGTTGTCGTTAACTAATTGCCGAACAATTTACTTAAATATTAGTTATAAAGAGATTAAAACTTTAAAATAGTGTTTCGCTTTCAAAATACAAAATAATAGCAAAAAATGTCTTTTCTTTTCATTTATTAATCTAATGGTTCATCCAATTGAAAGTTTAACCTAAATATTAATAAATAACATCTCTTTTTAACGCATTTTATAGGCGAACGGCTCTTGAAGTTCTGACAGCTCTCCCCTGAAATTCACAAACATCTCGAAATCCATGTCTCGCTATTAAAATTTTAAAAAAATACAATTCAATACATCCATTGCCACACATTTTAGTTCATTAATGGATCCAAATATTTAATAAAAATACCTTATTTTTGGGATTAGGAGTCATCTGAAAGCTACCGTTGATCTCTTCGCCGCGCTTTACAGTCAAATAGTCGTCGATATAAAAGACGGTTTGTTTCCAATGAGTATAACCGCATTCAGGGGCTAAACATACAAACAAAACAAAAGTTATACACAATTAAGATGTATGTTAAGAGCGGACGACTTACAGGTCGAAAAACCGGTGCGTTTATGACATTTGGAGAACTCGATGTTGAAGTACGTGACAAATGCCTGGATGTAGTCGTCTCTCTTGACTTGCAAATGGAAATTAGCCTTAAACGCCAAATCCGATGTCTTCACTGTATATAAGTCCACTTCTTTGATCAAACAGTTAGTGGTCACCACTTGCTTGGCGTCCACCACATCGACCAACGGCTCGGCGATCGCTATCTTTCGGATGCAACTCATGTCAAAGCCATAGACATCGTCCCACCCTTTGATCAATACAAACACTCGTTTACAACTAATGCATCGGATATTTGCAAACTGTCTTACAATTGATTTTGTCGTCTTTGTACTGACGATCTTCGATGGCAGTGATAAAGAGTGTCGCTCTGTCCGGGAATAGGAGGCCATCGGGATTCTGGTCAGAGAGATATCCAAATCAATAAGTGTAAGAACTCAAAGGGCGTGTGAATAGACTTACCATCCATTTATCCCTGGCGTAGATGACTGTGTCTAACATAGACTCGTAGAACAGACAATAGCCCATCCATTCGGAGATAATGATATCGACTTTCGGGTATTCCTGCGGTAACTCTATTTCTTCTACTTTTCCTTTAATTAAAGTGATTTCTAAGACCACACAAAAAATGTGTTAATATTGAGTGCATTTTCATCACTACTGGAAGCGCTTACTGTGTGAAAGATTGTTGTCTTTGATCACCTGTTCGGCCAAATTTACGATTCCACTGCATTCGATCTGAAAATACATTCAACACATTATACTCACATTAAATGCACACACAATCTAATGCTTAACTAACGTAAATATTAATCTCATAAATAATCACTTGACAAAAACTATAACAATTAAGTCTCAAAATAAACACTTTTGAGACACAAATCACGACTTAATTGTTAATTATAAGCAATCAAATAAACATATAATGAGAATACTATACTAAATATGCGTAAAAACAAACAAATAGATGAATACCCCGATCACGTGTTGGGCGCCGGCTTTGGCGGCAAACATACTGAGTATACCAGTGCCGCACCCGATGTCGAGCACCACCTTATTCTTGAAGAGGTGTTTATTATGGATCATAGCGTTCCTATAGGTGAGAGTGCGGACCTCGTCTTTGAGCATCTCTTCATGGATGCCGTAATGAGCGTACGAATCGAAGTAATAGTCTTTGGACGTCATGTCTTCGGTGGTGACGCCGTTCTCCACGGTCTCGGTCTTGCATTTCTCGCACAACAGTGGCGTCGACTTCGATGCGGACGAGTGGCCGGACGTGTCCGACGAGTTCATGGGCGACGTCTTCGTGTGGTTCTGATTGGGAAGCGATGCCATCACTTGGATGTCGTCGTCCTCTTCGATGACAATGGGATTCGTGCCAAACGTCGAATGCGCCGGACTTTCGCCCATCTGTTCCCATACGAAGACATTGTAATCAGCGGTTCATTAAATCATAATTAATAGTAATTCATAAGTTTTGCCGCAAATTAACGGCCATTTAATCGGCGTTTTTATTATTGACACTAAAATCGTGCAAAACTTGTGGACAAAACAATTCATTACAATTTGAAGTAAACAGTGATTTGAAAAGCAATGACTCGTTTTGAGCGTTAATTGAGTCGTGAATTGAGTTCACAATTAAACTCAAAGCCAACAAAAAGCGCTCAATTGATGAGTACTTACGTCGATCTCAATCGGAGTTTCAGACATTTGTCACACTTTTTATATTTGATTCACAATTCAATAGCAAACAAATCGGCGCTCAATATAACGGCTAAACAATTGACAAAACAATTAACAATTTATTGTAATTTAAATATAAAATCAAATGAAATAAACAATGATTTGTTTGAATGAATGAATGCTTTCACTCATTGAACGCTATATTTGTTTTATAATCAAAAATAATTATAACAAATAAAACACGTGTTTAATGAGTGAACACACAAAGCATTTCAATGCATTCCCAGTGACTGTCATATTATGTGTCCATAAATTACGGCAAACAATACGCCAATGAAATGACAAATGCATTTCAAACGCTATTCACACCTCATCTCTGGTTTGTCGGCGTTTTCACTGCAATACTCTGTTTGGTAGAGAAGTGCAGAGAATGTGCGCCAAAACTGTACCAAAAGTGTATGACTTGTGGCCTATAATGAGTGAATCCGTTGAATACTATTCATGAGATTTGATTGAAGTGTCCATTCATTGCAAATCACGCATTGTATGCAATTTGAGGCCAAATATTGACAATTAATTGAGTGAACAATTGATTAGTTGTGACCAAAATGTGTGATATGTATGCAAAGGATTCTTTGGATCGATTCGGTGATGATTTGATGACCCAATTGTTGGCTTATGTGTCACTCGAAGACAGATTCAGATTTGAAAGCGTGTCAAAGCAGTGGCAAAGAGTGGTCTTCACGACACAAACCGAGATCATTGGCAGTGAATTGAAGTTTGTGGAGGACTTTAAATGGTGGGAAAAGACGACCCGTTTGTTGGCCACAATTGTCACCAAATGTCCCAATATTTCGCGCATATGTTTCCCCAATCACTGTCGACCCGACGACACAGTCATTGATTTAATGATCAAACATTGCCCGCGTTTGGCGGCCATTGAAATGCACTTCGAGTGGATTAACGACACGTCTATCGATATGTTTTTCACACGATTTGGGCCGCAATTGAAATCACTGAATACTTTTGGATTCAAGGAAACGATGGACAAGAAGTCAATGGAGAAGTTGATGGAAATGTGTGTCACTTTAGAGTCGCTTCACATACACCCCGAGTACATGAGGCGTGTAAACACACCTAACCTCACATTTCCATCGGTTCCCGAAGTGCGGCTGAAGGCACTCAAGTCTATTGACGCTGAGATCGACATGACTTTAGCTCCCAATGTGAATGCATTGGACGCGTTTGCGGACAAATATAAAGACCGAATGAAGACAATTGTCTTAAGCATACATCGGTGGCCGTTTCTGGAACAGTCATTGGAAGCGTTTAACAAACTGATGGGTTGTTTGTCGCGAATGCGGTTTTTAATTGGACTGCGATTCTCACTGCCGATGCTTTCGTCGCAAGTTTTGATCCCTTTATTGACTCAATTGGGCGGCAATTGTGAGCGTCTGAAGAGTTTGGACATCGATATGACGAACTGGAGACCAGAATTGCTTCACGTGATTAGCGAACACTTTAAAAGTTTAAAGAGACTTCACGTTAGGGTTACTATGGGTGCCATTTGGGGCGAAGTGCCCGAAATGCCGGTCACCAGCGATGCATTGGTTGCATTCAAACGAATAACTCATTTCCAATTATCCATAACGAAAGACTACGACAACAACGAACCCTTTATTACTGACCTATTTTTTGCTAATATTGGCCACAATTTGCCAAATCTTCAGTATTTAAACGTAAAGTACGTGAAAATTAGCGACGAGTCGTTGATATCATTGTCTGGATTGAAGAAAATCCGTGGCATTACTCTCTACGGAGACACCAAAGATGCGATGAAAATGACTGAAATGGGACTCAAGAATGCGATGACTAAATGTCCCAATGCTTTCATAAAATTTCGATATTTTGAATGAATACAAAGAATTGAATTAAATTTACAGAAATATTTGCTTGAATTTGTTAATAGACTCGTGAATTCAGAACAAAACTTAAATTGATTTGTAATTTCAAACAATAAATAATAATAAAAATTTAATTAAATTTGTTGTAAAGTTATTTCAAATAAAATGAGTGAATGCTTTACTTGTTTAATACTGATAACAGTAGACTATTTATTTTGAATAATTTTTATTTCATTCATGTGTTAAACACAATACAAATTGAAAAAAGCAAATAAAAAATATCTATTTATTTAAAAATGATTTTGAGATTACAATCAAAATAAATCGGAAAGAAATATAAAAAAGTGTTTAATGAATGGGAAAGTTATGGGTCAAGGATTATAAGTAGGCGAATCCAGTTCTTGCATCTCATGCCTCTCTCTCTCTCTCTCTCTCTCTCTCTCTCTCTCTCTCCCTCTCTCCCAATCCATGGTTTACCTGTTNCTCTCTCTCTCTCTCTCTCTCTCTCTCTCCCTCTCTCCCAATCCATGGTTTACCTGTTAATGACGGAGAAACAGCTCTTGTGAGCAATATTCACGACTGGCTTTCATTATCGTTATATGAAGTGAATAAGCGATCAAAGAATTCAATGAGAATTTCTATTTAAGGGCTTTTCAATGAAAATCGACGGAAAATTATTCGTCAATATTTCGTCACGAATACCACTATTAGTCTAATAATTATTCTTTTGTTTTCAAAAATTGTTGTGAATTTGTTTTATTAAATCTTTTCTCGGAATTAATGTATTAAACATTTGTATTATTTGCTAATTTGTTTGCAGTGAAAAGATTTAGTTATAATTTTATACAAAATACACTTTAGTTAAGACTTTATAACTGCATGTGTTTCTCTCAACTCATTGTTTGGATGAAAATTGTTTTCCTGAGAAACATCATTGAAGGCATCTTTTGTGTGGGATCTCAGCGCTACTTGTGATTGACATTTCGTGTCTTCAATACTCTTTCACTTTCAAAGTCTAGCAAATTCTTGACAACCCTTTAGTTTTGTTGATTTTAAAATCAATTTTGTGTTAAAAGTTTTCACTTAAAACTGAATTACAATGAAGAATATACAGTGTTTGTGTCTATTAGTGACTTATATCAGTGTATGTGTGGCACAGCGACAGACAATAGCCCCGCCGGTGGACACAGTGTTCGCGAAAGGGGGCACTTGTCTGTACAAGATATACAAGGAGTACAACATATGTATGCAAATACAACAGGAAAGGCTGGACAGAGAGATCGCCGAACTGTCGCGTTATGTGACTTTAGTTGAGCAGAAGATCAGCATTAATCGGATCGGATGTTGCGCTTACTGGGAGTTCCTCTCGTGTGTGGAGTCGGCCGCCGACCGCAAGTGCATCAAAGACCGCACAGATATGCAGATGTATACCCGACAACTCGGCTCTACTGTCCCTCTCGACGATTGCAAACGAGACTTTCCCAGAGATTCCGATGTTTGCAGTGATTCTCGCAAATTGATTCATTCATCCATTCTTTCTGTTGTCTTGTTTTTTATCACATTTTTCGTCAATAAGTTTTAGTGAAGTTTTCTATGGATTTTGATATACAAAATGTAACATTATTTAACAATCATCGCAAAACATCATTGAAGGACATTTTTACAGTGATTTTAACATTTACTTAAATCTATTTTAATTAGTTTTCATTTCTTTATTGTTTTAAAGTATTGACAATTAGTTTATATCAACAGTTAATTAACTAATTAATACTAAATCTTTAAGTTCAGAGCAAATAATGATTTAAATCTGAATGAATTAATGGATTCAATGGTTTAATTAAAGTAAATATAATTATAATGATTGGTGTCCTTGTGTTTACTTCTAAATAAAGGCTTATTAAACATTAAACATAAATTTGTCAACAATTTTGTGGATCTATTTATCATTTAATATTGCAGTGACAGGAAGTAAACCCGTCCTTAAATACTTACTATCGGGTAATTTTTGCCTTATATTTGGTTTAAAACATTTTATTTAAATTTTAAAGATTTTACACATAAAATATATTATTGTTTGCAATATTTAATGCACAAAACAATTGGTTTTAATATAATATTACATTTATTATTAAAGTATATCTTATTAATTATGAGCGACTTTCGTGTTATATATTCATATCGGAAATGGATTTAATGGAAATCATAAGTTAGGGAAATACAAGTCATTAATTTTAAACAAAAACTATAAACATTTTAAATAATAAATTAAAACAATTACATAAAGTATATGAAAAATTCTATAACAAATAAAAAGTAAATCTAAACTTTTGCTCGTCCTCACAATATCTACTATATGTTAGCATTAAGTCTTCAAATGACAACTAAAATGATTTAAATAGCTTTGAAGTGGTGTTCAATGAAATAATGTAAAACATAACTGTAAATATAAGTTCCTGTGCTTTTGCACTACAATTGATTATCATTTCATTAATCAAATCATTATTTTCTATACACAGTATAGAAAGTGCTTTTCCTTAATTGAATTTAACAAATAACACAATTTGTGCACTTCTTGTGTTGAGTAAAAAATAAAATCTATTTCTTGAATACAAGTAATGTTAAAAATGTTGTGCTTGTGATATCTTAATTGCATTTTCTAATACTAAATTGTAAATTACGTGAATATCAAATGTATCATTAATAACATTTATTATTAAACGATGTATTCAAAGGAAATATTTCTATCCATTGTTTTTACAAACTTATTATCACTTGTAGTTAAATGTAATTCATATCAACCGACGGTCGGAATTGACTTTTTAAGCACCAAAACATGTATTCATAAAACGTCTGAATTTCAAGTTTGTATCAAAAAATATTACGATAAAATACAGACACATCAACAGAAAAACGATGCCAATAATAAAGTAATCTGTTGTGCCTATTGGAAATTGATCGAGGTCTCTTATCTCTATTATAGCTATATCTATTAAATGTCATCATTTTTTTGTAACATTGCTTTCTTATTGTGCAATCAAATAGTGTCTGAAATATCCGGCAAAGGATTACTGTCGAGTGGATCACAAGGATATAGAGCTATACACCACTCAATTCAATCCGATGTTAGTATCGCCGCAATTGTGTCGCGACTACC